TTGCTTCAAAACGAAGCCAGCGGCAAGACGCCGGCGCCGGCGCCGATGCCGGAGCGACCGACTACGCCACACATTCTGTGGCGCGCCTCGGACCGCGTGCGGCTCGCGCTCGACGTGCCAGCCGAGCTCCAAGGCGCGCCGCCCAAGGTCAATGCAGTGGTATCGCCAGAAGCGGCGACGCCGAAACCTCGCATGAAAAAGATAAAGGCCGCGTACGGCGCGTGGTACCTGCCGCCCAAAGACTGGTGCAAGCAAACCACGCCAGACGGGGCGCGCAGTCGGGGCGCGCAGGCCAAGTCAAGCGAGAGGACAAAGGCGCTCGAGCAAATCCCAAAGCTCTTCATTGCGCGCGAGTACCGCAGCTTTATCGAGTCCCGAAACGCACGCATGCCTCCGTATTTGAGCGAGCCGTCGTAGCGTCGTCACGCTTGATACATCGATAGTTTGCAGTGTTAAGCTGTGAACGACTCTACCATGGATCGGCACGGAAGCGAGCCGACTTGCCGAGCATCATGCACAGGTTGACGATGGGTCGCAAGCGTGTTTACGGCGCGACCTCCTCGTACGAGAGAGTAGCGGAGGTGGTGATACAGCGATTACCTTTGTATCGAAAACTTGAGAACGCGTCGAGCGGACAAAGCTTAAGCGGACATTGCAAGACACAGCAGCGACCTGTCGTGGAAAGGACAACCGGAGGCGACAAAGTCTGCATCGAAGGCGAGCCGAGTGGTGCGCGACCTTCAACATAGTTAAACACGCGTCATCAAGCCGGCACCTGGCCGACAGAACCGACAATAAGTAATTTTTTATAAGTTTAAAGGTAGATCATCCTGTCTTGAGACTGTGCCGACAGCGTTCACATTGCTGTTTGCGACAACGGTGACGGGGCCGTGTCCGTCAAGGCACCTGACGGGCAGTCCGTTTCTGAACAACGCCGTTCAATTGTCTTCACGCCACGAACAACTGCGGCGTCTCCGACGTCAAAGTCAGCGATGCCTCGAACGCGGTCAAGACGTCGCGCAAGGCCGGTGTCGGCTCCACCAGGCCGCGCGCCGCGCGCACCACCAATAGCGCGGCTTCGTACGGGAGTCGAAACGTGTGCATGAGGTACGCGATGCAGACGGCACCGCTGAAAGCAACGCCCGTCTCGCAAAAGACGAGGACAGTCGCATGCACCGCAAGCGTCTTTCGAAGGAGGTCGACGCTTGCAATCGCGTCCAAGCCGACCTTGTCGAGTTCCAAGCGCACGAGGGAGTCGCGGGCGGTGGTCGCCACTTCGACCCCGTCCAGCGCGTTGGTGGTGACCGCCACAAACCCGCGTGAAAAGGCTGCGACGTGCGACTGCGACGAGAGAAAGGCCAGCGACGAACCAATGAAGAGTCCGGGCGCGACTTGCTGCTTGTCGGACGCGATGGCCACCGAGATGCGCTCGCGCCACACGTAGCTGTGCACGCTCGAGAGCAGTGGCAGGCGCAGCTCGCTGAGGAGCTCCAGCAGGCCGGCTTGGACGTTGGCGAGGACGTCGTCCCCGACATGAGGAGCGTAGACAACGAGAAGGTACAGGTTCTCGAGCTGCTCTTCGAGTTGGATGTGGCGGAAATCGAGCGGACTCGACGAGCTCGCGAGGCGGTACCGGTACCGGGCGTACGCTGCGTAGAGTGCGACGAAGAAGCGGAGGCTGCGCACACGCACGACGGTTGAGCCCATTCTGCAACTGGAAGGATACGACCATGTAACGAAGATATGCAGGAAAAAAGGTGCAGTCTTGCTGCCAAATATGTAGCTGCTGAGCGAAAGGTGATGGCTGTGCGTACAGCACGACGGAACGACACTGGTGTAGTACAGCCGTGTCTGGTGCCAACTTCATTGAAAGAATGGGCGATTGCGACGTAAGAAGCATCGTTTCGAGAGCGGAGCTGCGAAAATAATGCTCTCAATCTAACGTGTTCGCGTTGAAATCGAATTAGCACAAAAACTAACTCAAAGACTTCGCATACGTAGTGCTACGCCTGAATGCGTGGGAGTTGGCACCAGCACTTGGTCGTTGGGAGTGAGCTGCGCACGGAGAGATCCATCCCGTGGTGGACCCCACTCGCCGAGGGTTAGCGCGCTCGAGGTCGTACGCAGGCTCCTGTACTCGGACCACCCGACAGAGGAGTGCAAGCCGTCGGGTGCTCTCAATTTCGATTTCGGTTCCCGTTAATTAACCCGCCACTCTTTCCTCGAGGCTGGGCGGTAACCCAGCCTTTTTCACCCTTGAGCATTCCCGCGTGTCGAACGAGCACTTACAAGCTTTTGTTGTTGGTAGAGTGAAGTCATAGCGATATGGATTGCAGAACAGTGCCTCTTACGAGCTTTTGTGCAATAATTGAATATCGAGGATCTCCAGTTGTCCTCAATTCTCGATCGTGGGAACAAGGATTCTGCATCACTCGGATCTTACTCTGCAACGCTCGGGGCTTGTAGGATGGCGAGGACATCATCCACGAGGGCAAAGTACGCTTTGGCAAGCGCATGGCCCTTAACTTGGAGCACCCGATGGAAATGCGCCTCGACGAGAACGCGAGGCGGCATCGCCCTCATCGACTCGGTGAACAAATTCGGGTATTCGGTTCGTAGGAGCGCGGCCACCGAGGGGTAGGGTTCGTTGGGCTCGAGCACCGAGACGGTTCGAATCACGCACTGGGTCTTGGAGATACGCCGTACTTCGTTCCTATAGTATCCGGTAATGCCGCTTTCTCCAATAGTGTCAAGTACCATTCTTGCAAGGTGTCAAGGCGGTCGCTGGAGACGGCAAAGAGATCATCATGACGGATCGACCGATACGCCACAAGAACGCGGTCGTCGTCGATCGTGACACGTCGATGCAAGACGTTGACGCCGCGCCCGTTGCAGAGCTCGCGCACATAACTCATCTCACTGTTGGCATTCATGTCGTGGTGCAACGACTAGGCGTCGTTAAACTATTGCATCGAGTACAATAATCGAACAAATCAGCGCACCTCGACGTCGCTCGAAACAAGGAAATTGGGGTACAAGTGACACTCGGGCGACGCGCGGTTGACAAGCCAAAGTGCTTTGGCGGCCTCGTGCGTCGACGCCGTCACGATCTTTTGCATGACGAGCTTCCGGCCGAGCCGTGACCACTCGACCCGAATCGCGTCTTCCAGCGTGTGCGGAAAGAGTGCCGGGTGCAAGCGCTCGTTCACAGCATGGTCGAGCTGCTGCGCAATCCAACGGTACCCAAGGTGTCGAATGCGCGGCTCCATTGGAAGGTACGCGTCGCGCCACGAGGCTTCGGCGAGTTGAGGTGGGGCCGCCTACACAATAAGCCTTGTTTAGGCCTCGGCTGCATCTACCGAATCAATGCTGTATACGGGGATGCTCGCCATAGCGTCAACCCACGCCTGCAGCTCGCGCACGAGCGACGAAGTCGTTACGAGCTCGGCCCGAAGCGCCTTGTTTTCAAGGACACTCGACTGCGTGCTGGTGCGTAATGCGAGCGCCACGTCCTGCCACGACAACTGCGTGCCCTGGAGGACGCTGGCCGCTTCACGGAGCTCGGCGATCGACGCGACAAGGGCCGCGACGTCGCGC